TTGATTGGTTAATTATCACGGGAAATCACGGGTAGATCTACAAAAATTAACCAATCAAACGAAAGTCTTCCTATGAATTCTGGCCCACATTAGCAGTAAATTACCATAATGCAGGCCTGTGAAGCCTGCACAGGCTGCGCAGCAGATTTAAAAAATCCTCGATTTGCCCATCCTTAGATGTTAGCAAATCTTCTATAAGTCGGTTTTCAAAGATATGGATGTAATTGAAAAGCTTTCGCAACACTATCGATTTTCTGGAATCTTGAGTTACATTTAACCATTTGATGAATTCTTGATCATATATCTACTTTTTTTTTTCACCTATTTCAAAAATTGAATTTTGAAAAGATTCCATGTCTCTGAACATAAGTATGTAATATAAAAATATTTACCCAAAATCAATGACTTAAAACCAGATCTGCCAAAAAATCATTCGGCTAACTTTTTATCAGATGTCTCAGAATTTATGAAAACATTGTAATACCGTATTTACGCGAACTAACGCACATGGGCGTTATTTTGAAAATCGCTTTCCTTAAAATAGCATAGTTGGAAATAGCATAGCTGGTTTCAAAATAACGCCCATGTGCGTCCCGAAATAACGCACACCCCATATACTAATGTTAATAAATCACCTTGATATTTACCATCAGTGATTGGTGTGTATCCTTTACCTCGAAATAATGCGTACTTGCATCTCCTCGAAATAACGCGCAGATATGCGTTATTTCGCGTAAATACGGTATGTATTGAATATACAGTATACAGGTATATGTGTTAGGGAAATAAGTAAAAGTGTCGGGAAGTAGAACTGTCGAAATAAATTTAAATATAATTTTTAAAGTTTCGGATTATAGTTGAGGTTTCGGATTATAATTTCGGGGTTTCGGGTTTCGGGATTTTTTAAAAAAATCCGAAACTATCCGAAACTAGTTTCGGATTAGAGCTTTCCGAAACTAGTTTCGGATAGGTTTCGTTTCGAGTACCAACTCTAGTCCGATGAGTGTTAAGATCGGGTAACCGTTGTCACAACCTGGGTACAATCTAGGTACAATCACTAATTATATTTGGATGGCGTTAATTCAAGGAGACCACTGGCGCTAATTCGAATCCAAGTATGCTGTTATTAAAGTTAGAATTTATTTATTTATTTATTTATTTATTTAAGACGGATAAGTTCTTATCGTTATATCTGATTGTTTATTATAATATATATCAAAATATTTATAATTCAACATAGGAAAATGCAATTTGAAAATCTTAGTTCATATGTATAACATGTGCAATTTTGAGCTATTACTTTATAAAAAATATTATTAAATCACTATATTTAAATTATGATACCCATTGCTAAAAGAATATATAATACATAATTGAAGGCACGTCATTAATACTGTATGTCACTGATTATAGTAGTTTCCAATCCTTAAATATGCTACGCTTTAGCAGTTAATGGTTCAATTCTTAAGTAAATTATCGTTTAAAATCAGAATGATTTAGCGATAAAATTTTAAGGGTTTGCATTCTTATATACATATATATGCAATTCAAATTGTTTGAAGTTAATTGGTTAGTTAACTTCATTACACTGGTTAAAATAAAAAATTCTACAAAGTTTACCTACCCATTCAACATTGTCATATGACTTCACGGGCATACATGTACGCGGAGTCATATGATAAGGTTGACTGGGTATGTCGAATAACGTTAAATGACATTTGATAGAATTTTTATTTATTGACTAGTATTATTTGAACTTAAACACAAAAAAAGAATTTTTAGGTATTTATGACTAAGTATTTAGATTAATCGATATCATTTTTATCCATCATATTATGATATAGGGTTGTTAGTGTGTTGAGTTGGGTTGACCCACTCCACCAAATTAGACTTACTCCAATGTTTTGCTCCGGGTTGCACCAAATTTAAAGACATAATTTTAAACCCACTCCAACTTGGGTTGGGTTCTACTCCGGAGTGCTCCGGAGTAAGTTATTCCATTAACAACCCTACTATGATATACTACGGACGCGTACTCAAGGTATCCGATTATTATCAAGATCCTGCTAACCTGATGGGAATGCTATTGAAGGAGTGATAATAAGGAATGTTTCAAGCGAAAGCCTTAATTTAGGCAAGGTGCAGGAGGAAGGTCTTGAATACAATCAGATTCGGAATCATCATATTTCTTTTTAATTATATGTCTTCTTTTTTTAAATGATATATGTAACGAATTTTAAGCCATATAAGTTACCAACGAAGAATGAAAGTTGCTGACTAAGAAGTCATGCGACTGTATCAAAGCTAAATTTATAAAATATGTAACTTTAAAAAGAACATCAGTTATTATCCGAGATGTAGACATAACACATACTTATTGACTCGGGTTGTAATTCGGACCAAAAAGGTTCAACCAGGTAAGAACCATAGTGTTAGTATAATTGTTGTGTATTTGTGTTTTATTTTAGCCCTCCCCCATATTATCAGCTACTGTTGTTATGTTAAACAGAAATTAAATTGGTGTGTCCTAACATGTTTAAAAATTTATTAAATATCGTAAATCATTAAAATCTATTTACACTCCATTAAAAATTCTAACCCAAATTTTAATCATACCTTCAAAATAAAACCTAAAAAAAATGCACTCTGAAAATTTTATTATGGAACTAAATAAAAAATCAATTTCATTTTAGTCAATTTTTAAGCATGTAGATCTAATCATCAATCTCCATCTTATTTATTACGTGCTGAATGAAATTCTTGAATAATTTTGATGATATCAATAATAAATTCTGCAGTCAAAGACTTATCTTTATTCTTGGCCAACAATCTCGTTGCATGAAGGACATTGCGAATCTCACGGCCATTCAATTCGCGATTATTAAAATCATCAGCTTTGAGAGACAAGCAGGCATGTTGAAAAAGATAGGTACGAGTATTCATGTGTTTGGAAGAATGCGACTAACCGAAGGTGCCGGAAATAAATTCAATTAAAGGAATTTAAGTCCGCAGAATATATTGTGAATTTGAGCTGAGTAATTTGAACTGAAACGATGATATGCTCCCGGAAAATTAGCAAGTGAGATTACGCCGGGTATCATCGTAACAGTAGAACGAGTGAGAAACAGCCGATGGTTTCCCGTATGCTCGAAGCAGATCGGCTGTTAAATAGGAATATGGCAGGATCAGGAGACCGTTCCAAAAAATTAGATGTCCTGATCTGCCATAGTCCTATGTGTTGATTGGAGTGGTGCTTGACAGGTTGCCATTGCTTGGCTACGCTTTGTGGTGTGCGTTTGTATTAGTTGTTTGGCTAGTCATTTACTGATTATTTGGCTAGTGATTACTTCGTAGAGTCATTTTGTATATAGCTATTTGACGCCTTGCTGAAGTATGTGTACGCATATATGTGTGCTATTGTTGATTTTGCTCTATTGTTATTATTTGGGGTCTTTGCCTTGAAAATCACCTTCCAACATTTCCGATCGGGTTAATTCGGACAAAAATAAACCCGAATACCGGTTCATGTTCATATGTTAATCATCTTTTCTTTTATTGATTTAATAGTTATTCGATAAACTATTGAACCAATAAAGTTAAAAGATGATTAACATATAAACATGAACCGGTACTCGGGTTTATTTTTGTCCGAATTAACCCGATCGGAAATGTCGGAGGGTGATTTTTAAGGCAAAGACCCCATTTATTGTCCAGAGCGTAGCGAAGGACGATCTATATTGTAATGATAGACCAGATTTTGTGTGTAATCTTGTCGGCACCTATTTTTAAATTGGATAATCACAAATTTATTTAATTTGTCTGCTTCTATTCTAGCATAAATTTTTTAGCTCCGGGCATTTAATAGTTTATTTTAAAAACTGCTTATATTTTGCTTATTTGCTTGAGGCTATTATTGGTTTTCACTTCTTGTCATTCTGAGGCAGAGTACTACATGTTGCAGCTTTAGTGTGGTGTAATTGGTGTGCTCAAAGGTGCCAATAGTATATTATTGTGAGGGTAGCCAATTATGGTATGTTTTGATTAATATTGCTGCTATTACGGCTGGGCAGGCTAGAAATACTTGTGAAAGTATAGACCAAAGTGAAATTATAACTTCTTTACTTTGAAAAATCTATTATGATTCTTTTATTACTTATATTCACTATCAATTCACTAAATATTACTCAAACCTCTTGGATTACTAATCTTAAAAAAATTTTTAATAAACTTCAAACCTATTGTTTTGTTTTTACCTACATGATAATATATACTCTTTGTATTATATCTTTATAGGTTGAATTATTCTATATAATTTCTGTTGCAGAATTTTTTATAATATAATCAATATTAGAAGGTGGAATTGATGAGTTTCAAGCATTGTTTAATCACAAATTCTAGAATTTTGAGCATCAGTTAACTGAAAATTCAAATATTTATTGAGTTTTTTGAAATACATAAAAATTTAACATAACATAGAATTATTAATTGCTTTATCAATTATATATTAATTATTTATATACAGTACTTAATATACGATTTATATTATTTACAATTCATTAATTTACATGAAATTATAAAACAATCACATCAATATCTATTAATTCTAAATATCAGGAATAATAAAATTAATTGTTTTTATATTACACTTTAGAAATATCATTCTACCAAATAACTTTGGATTTAGAAATGTTCTCTTCTCACTCATAACATTTTCTGCATCAAAAAACAAGTGTTCACTTGATGTGCTAGTTGCAGAAATTGCAAGAAATTTTTATGCCATTTCATATAAAACTGGAAATCACCATTTTTGTAAAAATTACCATGTTGCAGGATCTGCTTTGAAATCAAGTTCAGGAAGAGCAGGATAATTTGCAACCTCATTAATATCTTAATTTTGAAAATTTGATGAAAAAACAGATTTAATAAAGTTTTTATAGTAAATTTGTTTTTTATTTTTATTAGCTATAGATATAGAATTTAATTCTAATGAAGTAACTTGCTTAGATAAGTGATATTGTTCTTTAAATTCTGCATATGCAATATATAAAGCTTCTTTAGCTTTGTTTTGCTCATTAGTTGATAAAAAAATCTTTTGTATCTTGGGTCTAGCTAATATACAAGGTATATATTTGTATCAGAAGTTGGCCAATAGTAAAGCAAGGCTTTGTAAAGAGATAATTTTATATTATCTAATAATCTACTTGTATTCATAGGTCTATTAATTTTTATCTGTTGTTTTTTTGGTCCTATTATAGTTTCTTCTTTATTATCTTTATACTCAAGATCATCATCAAATGCAATATCATTTGAATTAAAATTCAAAGTTGAATAAAAGTCTTGAATAATAGGACAAAATTTAGCTATAAGCGTAGTAATTAATGGATACATTATACTGATTGTAACATATTCACTACTACTAAAATATTCAGTATATTCATTAAATGGTCTAAATAAATTAGTTAAATCACTCATTAAGTTCCACTTATTATCTGTTAGCATAATCTTTTTAAAGCGATTATAATCTTGACATGCATCTGGTATATTGTCTTTGCTTAACATAATTAAGACAATATCAATATAGTCACAAACTAAAAGGAGTTACTCTTATGCTAAAAAACTTAAGTTCTATCTAGTTAAAATATTACATTTTATATAATATTCTTTAATATTCCAAATCATCTATATAATATAATTTAAAATAATAATTAAATTAAAATTTATAAAATAAAAAAA